CTAGTTCTGCTATTAGGTAACTAAAAAAATAATAAAATTTGAACAACAAAAAATGTACTTTGGGTGGCGATAGATGGCAGCTGGCAGGAGTATGTGGCAAGACCTAATAGTTAGCCGAGACCAAAGGAAATAAAAAACTAATCCGGGAAAGTCTGTGCCATTCTGATGCACCACTAGTTGAATTTTAATATGAAATTGAGTGTAGTTTGCATAGTTTACCCTGTTATTGTTTCAAAAAGCTAGAAATAGAATTGTCAATAATTGACATTACTAAAAATTTGTGACTAGAGCTATAAGTTTGATTGAATTTATCTGTAAAAACAACTTGGGAGATAGTGAAATTGTGAAGTTGTTAAACCTGTTCACCGCGCTGTTTCTCGTCACTGAAGATAATAAAGACATTTTTTAGAAGTATTACAGGCCAAGAGAAACATTATGGAACTTTCTATTTTAGTTGCTATCAGTGGAAAAGAGATTTCATCAAGAACGTATTGAATTTCAACTAGAATGTTATTGGTAAATTCGCTCGCAGTAAAGATCGGGGAATGGTTTGGTTTCCAAACAGGTCTATACGAAAAATAATACAGGAACATTTGGGAATTTTAATTATCCATTTTACTGTTCTATCGCTTACACTGTGTAAACATATTTCGTAAGGCTCCGCTAATCCCAGGCGCAGCATTGTTGCATAAACAATTCCCGCCGGCAATGTTGCCCAAAGAGTGCGGTATCATCGTGGCTTCCCCAAACGGGAGAGAGACTCGCCTTGCTTATGGACGCGCGTGGACAGTTGTCACCAAGCGTAGTCGAATTAGACAAATTGAGTGATAAAATCCGGAAGTTTTGAAACTTGACAAGATTGGTTATTGTTATCTACCGGTTATTATTTTACATAATAAAATCCAGAAGTGTGGGGGTTAACCGGGAGTGGGTAATGGGTGGGTTTGAAGGCGCTTTTTCGAAGTTTTTTGCTTCTTCATAACTATCAATCCAACCGAAAATTATGTTCTAAACAAAATTAAAATCGACAAACTTTCCTACCAAAAGTTTCTATATGGTTTTGTTGTCAAATTAACCATTTTAGAGTTACAGGCTTGAAAAGTTTTTGTTTTTGTTTACAAGGCCTTAGTTAACCCCCTTATAAAATGTTATGATAAGTTTAATGCACGGAAGTAATTTTATTTTTGTTCAACATTTGTCAACAATATATTTTAACATTTTTGCGCTGAAAACAGGAACATTTTACAGACCTGTATCAGAGGGCATCGGGGTCCGAGAATACCTCGGGTTCACAAGCATAGTTTATTTGCTTTTAAATCCATAGTTTATTTGATAAGGATCAAGTACATATATCTGGTGTGTACTAGTCAACATAGAAATTACAGAACATACAAATGTCCTGATTAACCGAGGCAGTCATTAGGAAAAACAACAATATCTCATTGCAAAACTATCGATGCCGATAGTGACTTTAGGAATATCGGGGCTTGCCCTAATTCACTAATCATTGCATCCCTCGCCAAACAAACCATAATAGATGGTTCGTCATCGACACTCTGTTTTAGTTGTCCGTCAATGGTCATGGTAAACGTAGTTATTTCATTTGTATGAATTTGTTGTTCCAATAGTATGTTCCATTTGTATAAATACGATTTGTAAAGATGTAACATTTTCCTGTTATCGCGCAAAATATACAAATACATATTGTTGATAAATGTTGAACAAAAATAAAATTACTTCCGTGCATTGAACTTATTACATAATTTTTATACTGGAAATAACTAGGGCCTTGTAAACAAAAACAAAAGCTTTTCAAGCCTATAACTCTAAAATGGTTAATTTTATGACAAAACCTTATAGGAACTTTTTTGTATGAAAGTTTGTCTATTTTAATGTCAAAGAGGACATAATTTTTGATCTAGGGATTGATAGTTATGGAGATGCCAAGAACGTCCAAAAAGGGCTTACAACCCTCCCGCCCGCTGCCTCCGGCCCCCCACATTTTCACAGGATTTTTTCGCGTGTTATGCAATAGTTACCAACAAACAATCGTTCTAAGTTTCAAAACTCCGGGACTTTTTCCTTCGGTCGCCATTTTCTGATTTAATTTGACTGGGCTATTAGGAGACAGGCGCAGACGATAGGCTCGCGGTTCCCTGCATCAATAGGAGCGCGAGGTACTTTCCCCAGAAAATCAGTGCGAGAAAATATTTATCGAAGTGAGATTCTTGTCGGTGACCAGAAAGAGACACGAGGAAAGCAGGAAAACATTTTACTGGCTCTCTATTAGTCTCAGCGAGTCTTACTGCATATTTATGCCGTCCTAAATGATGTACTTTTTAATGACGTCCGAAGTTATGTACTTTTTAATCACAAGTATGAATGGCTAACAAAACACGGATTCTGAATTCACAATGTGACAGAGGAAGTTATTTACTACATAAAGAAACAATGATTGTTTACTTTTTCAGTACCAGGTAACCATAATACCAATTTGTCTGTCGAAAAATCCCTGTTTTTCTGCAGCATTACAAAACAATACTACGTAAGCAGAATGCGAGAAGTAAAAGGCATGTTGCTAAATATCCAGTATCTACTTAGAAACTAAAAGCTTAAATTGAATGTTTCCCTACCTCCACCCAAGCACTTTAAAACATTGTATGTTATGATACAGAATATTAATTTAAGACAATTAAATTGTTTGATCTTTCAAGCAAAAACTGCAATATTTACAGATATGGTTTGCTTCTTTCTATAATTTTTCTTTTTTCACTTTTTTTCAATCTTAAATCAAAACCACTTGCATTTTGGGTAAAGTTATCTTCAGTTCTCTTGAATAGTGCACCATGCATCCCCTTGTATTCTTTATAAGATCTTGTTCTTTTTCCCTCCGTACACAATTATTTTATGATTGCCAATAGTTCATTTAAAAATAGGTGACTGAATGTAGCCATTAGGCCTCATTTACATCTGAACTACGAATAAAATATTTCCCAAACCTATTTAGATTACTATTCACGTATTAAAAAACAGAAAGATGAGTCAAAAATAAATTAATTTAGAAATTTTGAAAATACAAAATACTTTAGGAAAGTATTTTTGAGAGAAATCAATCATGTATTTTCGTCACAGATTGGTAAAGTATAGAAAATATGTATTATGAAAATATTTTCGATGCTGCCTAACTCTGCGCGCATATCACTCTTTCGTATTTGGTTTGTAATGTAAGACATTTGTGATGTGACTGTGAGAGTAATTATGCAAACGAACAAAGGCGCTCAGAGAAAACAAGGGGTAAAAACAGTAGGAAACAAGGGGGCCTCTTATTTCAAACCAAAGCGCACTGACCCCTAATCATAGGCGTACACAGCCTAAAACAAGAGGGAGCTAATTAAATGTTTGTACCCCCTTTTCGAATAAATATTTTACTAACATGTGACGCATGTTGCAAGTAAATAACGCATAAGATGAGAATGAAATTATAATATAATCCATTTCTTGCTGAGCCATTTTCATGGTTGCCAGATGGCAAGGAGAGCCTCTTCTCATAATAATTCTCCAAACTGTCGGGTCAAAAAAGGGGAATAATTCGAGTTTGAACATATTTACAGAAATAAAATGTACGGTTACGGGGCTCTTTCAAAACATTTCGGGTGGGCTAGGTCCCTGTGCCCTCGCCTGTGCCCCAATACACAAACCGAATTCATCTCTCCATCCAACACAAATTATTTAGGGTGGTTAATTTGAATTATAAGTTAGTACATTTTTATATGTTCTGAATGAAAACAAAAATTTAGGGTCCCAATTCAGTCGAGACCCAGCCTCCTCTCCCTATAAGTGTTCCTAGAAACAATATTGTTTCTAAATGAATTTAAAGAGCGAACATTTTTGGCTGTATTCTAGAGCTGCTGAAACTGGCACAATTCTCAACTGCATTTTACACCTTTAAAAGTTATGGTTTGGCAGGCTAGAAAGCTAACCATTTCTACACCACAGGAAATGTTGAAGCTTTTCCCCTAAGTAGACAGAAAATAAATTAATTAAAATGTCACATTTTTAAGTGTTATGCGTGGAGAAATTGTATTAATTGACTTCTCAGAAAAACATGACAAGTTGCTTCATAGAATAAAGAAATACATTAATGTTAATTTCTTTCTGCACGTTGAGCAATAAATGTTCTAATGTTTTTGTGTTCTTTTTGCAGAGTGAAAATGGAAAGATTGGCATAACGCTAATAGAAACAAAGTAGTGAATGATATTGCGCAGAATCGTGGGCTACTCAATTAGTGTTAGGTAATGTGAGTGACAAGTATTGGTGATGTCCAAGTCTAGGGGTCTCACATTCAGTCGGTTCGCGATTCGGCCGAGCTGTCGTCTAGCGAGTGTTTCATAGAGAGATTTGGAAAAAATGTGTGGCATCGTCGCTTTACACATGTTGGTCGTATTTCTTTATCCAAAACATTGTAGTACAAAGATGACTAGAAACGCATGTTTCCATGGTAGAGCCTCTATTCGGATTCTTACACACAGTGGTCAATTCCAGCAGTTGGTCGTAGGGAAGGTAAAGTGGAGAAACGTCCGTCCTGTTGTGGGACAATGCAAGGTGACACCGCTTTCCCTCGCCGGGTGACGAGCTGCTGCAGCAGCGCGGGCGCCACCGCCGCCTCCGCCGTCATCGCCACCGTCACCGTCACCGTCACCGTCACCGCCACCGCTACCGCCACCGCCACCGCCACCGCGGGAAGTGTACTTCCCAGGTCAACCAGGGCCTTTCTAACTCTCCATCGAAATTACGGGGTGCAACAAAATTAAAAGGGGCAAGGATAGTGTCGCCGGGTGCAGCTAGAGGTAAGGCTCGCCTCCACGGCACACTAAAAAATTTGAGGTATTTACGGGACTTACAAATACGCGGGGATCAAGTATTTGCAATGATAACATTTGCTGATAAATCGTGACTGTTTAAAATGCGAGTATGAACACGACCTTTTCTCCCGCGAGCCATGTTCGGCCCACGTGTCAGCCTAATAACGTTAGCATCGGCATGCCTTTTGGTTTCTGCAAGAAGGTGCAGGTGTAGAGCGCACCACTGTTTGTACGGAAGTAGAAAGGTTGTGAGGTCGACGGCGCGGCGTGGCGCGGCTCCCAGCCTGAGAGCTGCGAAGTTCCGTTCGGCCCCCTCGCCACGCTCCAGCGGGCGCCCGCTCCACTTCTCTTCCTGCAGCGCGCCTTCAACAACAGCCCGACGGCGGCAAGACACCGGCCGGCCGGGAGGCCGACGAGCAGGCTTCGTTGCGAGGGACGTAGCCGTGGTTTACAATCGTTGCGACGGACGTAATCATGGCAAAGATTGTTGCGAGGGACATAGCCATGGTATCACGATCGTTGCGAGAAACATAACCGTTGTTGCGAGGGGCGTAGCCATGGTATCACGATCATTTCAAGATACGTAGCCATGGTAAAATTGTTGCGAGGGACGTAGCCATGGTATCACGATCGTTGCGAGTGACGTAGCCGTGGTAAACATTGTTGCGAGGGACGTAGCCACGGTATCACGATCTCGTACCATGAACTCGCTTCTCTACTGCGTGGCGAATCTGACCACGGCGGCTGTTTTATACTGCTTAACACCAGTTAGTATTTGCCTGACCATTCGTTTCACTTCTGATCGGAATTGTTCCCTTCTGATAAACATCATAAATGAAATGTAGCGACATCGCACGCATATTTTACTAGTTTATCAGTATTAAGAAAACAGGAGGGCCTATTTTGTCTCTGTATGTAAAATGGCACTACGAAATGAAATCTCATTATGTCACAGCCTAATCCTTCTCAAACATTTGTTTGGTTCTGGGCTTTTAATTATTGTGAACAAGCGTCAATCCCATGCTTATTTTAATCTAAGCGGAAAAAGAAACAATCCTACAAATTTCAATGTTCATGTGCATACGTGGCGCTCCTACGGAGGGGGTCATGGGATCTCAATCCTCCTCCCTCAAAAGCCGATGGTACATATTCAGTCATATATTTTTTCTTATAATTTTCTATTCTATAGTAACGAAAGTTATTCATATCTCAAATGAATTCGTTATAATTAACAGAAAATCAACAAGTAAAATATTAATTTTAAATTCAGCATAAGTGAAAAATTCTTTATAAGAAAGTATCCAAGTCGGTTGGGCGCTACAACTACAGATCCCCCCTTTAAAAAACTGGTTGCCCCACTGTATATGTTCGCGTAACATGAATATTAAAGGAAACATTGCAATTAACGAAACCATTAAGAGCCTCTCGTAGTTGTTGTGTTGTTAGACATATTTCATCTATATCTGGATTTACGGACCCGTTAATTTTAATGAATGGTCATTTGAAAAGCAAACTGTGAAGAAATAAAAAAAAACAGCCTTGTCTGTTATATATTAAAGTACATCGTGCCAAGCTTCATCGGGACCTCAAGACTTTCATCAAAGGTTATTTAACTAGTAAAATAGTTCTTTATTTTACAAGTGGCTAAAAGAGACCATTATGTGCAGTTAGTTGATCATTCTCGAGCGCGAGTTTAGAATTACTAACGAGCACTATAATGGTCTTTTACGCACACGTAATATGTTTTATCTAATATGATCGCCTATGACACGCTACATTTTGAATTATTTTATAACATATGTTTATTGATACTGTCTTGACTTCGTCATGCTTCGTCAATTATCTACTGCAGGAAGCTTTATTATTATGGAAATAATAATAAGCCATTTACGTATTCTACTCCGAACATGCAAGTAATTAGCATTGAAAGGCGATCGGCTAAGATAAAATAATCTAAATTAATTGGAAGCTAGAATAATGTTGTAATGCGCTTTTTTGTAAATTTGTACGTATTTCTATTTAGTACTATCGCTCTGATTATCCGTTCCAGGATGGCGCGAATGGTTACGTGAAACTAAAATACACCTTTTTTTAGGGGAGAGCCTGTGTGCATTTAATGACCAGCAGTTCATTAAAAGTGAGTAATTGAAAAAAACGGAACTCATGTAGTGGAGAAGCTAGAGATAACTAGATTGTATCGGAGCATTGAGAAAAGAGGCGTCATCCTTCAGAGATTTGATGGCACACAGCAATTGCTCAAGCCCTCGGCTGCGTTAAACTTCCAGGACGGGCGTTCTTTCCTTTAGTGAGGAGCAAAGTGTCTAGATGAACGCCGTTTTAAATTTTATTTCGGGTTATTTCTCACCGACTTTCTTTGTGCTTCTTTTTCTCTCTCAATGCGGATATTGCTTTCTAACTAATATTCCCATACAGTTCTCAACAACGGGTCTGAAAGTTCCTTCAACTTAAAATATAGAGAAAATCACGTATGTATATCATTTTATGTAAATATCTATCTGAAGAAAAATTCAGTTTTGAGAAAAACTAACTCTAAATCTAACTCTAAAGAGAAAGATATTAAAGTGTACTAAAATAGTTCTTAAAAAGTATGTTTAATATCGATAGTAATTCCAAGTATCATATGAGAATACTAATATTGTTTAGAGTTCTCAAACTTTTACAGTATTTTCTTTTGGTTCATTACTTGAAACAATACATCTCTGATTATTCCTAATGTTGCTACGAATGCTTTGAATACAACTGTTAAAAATGTTGTTCAAATAATTGTTTAAATTCTTTAGAATTGTATTAAAGTACGTGTGTATTGAACATTCGACTTACATAGGACGTGGGGAATAGAAACGTAATTATCATAGGTAATACCACGAGGGCTTTGGAAATAGTCGATAAATCTCAGACTCGCGGCTCGAGGACGGGATTTATCTGAGAATCTCCTAAGCACGAGTGGTGTTTAATAGGACTACTCCACGAATGAAATTACGTCCAACATAGTTCCCAAATTCACTAAATATTGAAAATAACTGAAAGCATGTTAAAATAAAACATGGGGTTTATTGCTCATGAGCGTTTTATGGGGTTTATTGCTCATGAACACAGCAATCGATACATAACGTACCCTGCAATCGAAGAATCGCAGCTTATTTTTGGCCAATAGCGAGGGGCGGTAAGAAAAATCGGGTAAAAAAAGTGATAATATTTTTGATACACCGCCCTGATTGGAGCATTTCATTTGTATAGTTAAACACTATTGGTTTTAATTTCACGAGTGGAATAGTCATTATTATTATTTTGAATACCTATATTTTTATTTTAAGAAATAAATATGGAATTCAAAACAAAATTTAAATGAAGAGGAAAAGTAATTTTATGTCAAGAACTTGTGAAAATGACAAACTTCGAAACGAAGCAGAATTAGATTAATACTCTCTTTAATCTTGCATTCCGCATTGTCACGCACTGTGTGCGTTTGTATAAAACATGTTTTCTTATTAAGTACCGTTTCGTGACACCCTGAATGTTACTTTGTCTTGACACTGAGCAGTCTCATGATAAGGATATTCTATTTTTATACTCCTCTGATTTGAAATATGAAGACAATAGCAATTAAAATTATTTTAATCATTGTTATTACTAAAGTATTTAAGGATAGCAAGTCGCAATATTTTCAGAGAAAAACTAGGGAATATATTTATATTTGGAGTTATGTAAAAATCTGTGATTTGTCAATTACAGAAAATATTGATTATCATCAGAAAACAAATGTATTTTGATTAATAAAAGTATTGTAGTTCTGCAACTAGTCATCATGGTATCGTTTGTAAGGAGGGGATTTTGTGTCAGTCCTCACACTCGCATTTTATCTCATTTTTTGCTGAACTACGTTAAAGAGAAGACAAAAACATCACACTCAGAATCTCTGAAATATGTTTGGTTCTCATGGATTGTCAGTATTATTTATGTTACAAATGGATATTTATAGTACTTATGGCAATTTGGTCGAGATTTTAATGTGAGTTCAGTATAAAGTGTGTGTGTATGTGTGTAGTAAATCTTAACTAAACGAGCTCAGGTGGGACTTAAAAATATAAGTTGTATCCTAAGGCGTTCATTCTAAACAGCATGCTAAACTGATGAAAATTGCCTCAAATACTTCCTTACGTCGCTCTAATTTGACTGTAAATGCTGATTGTGTATCCCATTCGTATTCTGTGCTCCCCCTTTTCAAGATATTTAATTGTTTTGACACGAGTGTGAATAGAGTAGAATCAGTGCAATCATGAAGACGATTAAAAAACAAAGTCTTAGTAAGTGATAAACAATTGCTAAAAAAATCAAGATAACGTTATGGTACAAAGCCAAATATGGCAAAACAAACGTATGATGATAATTTTTTAGGAATGTCTAATGAAGTTTAACATGTTTCTTGCAAATAGAAACTAACAAGAAAATAGTCGCATATGTAGATCAAATTCTCAGAGTTAATATTTTTGCGTGTTAATTAATAACCAAATAGAATCACTAGGATATTTTCAATGTTTATTTCTGTAGCGTGGACATTGTTAACCAACTGAAGGTTTTGAGACCAAAATGACAATCCAGTACTATCTGGAGTGTTAACATTTAGTAATATTATTTGAATTGCTACGGAATCGTCTGTGCCACGTTTAACTCATTGTATACTGTTTAAAATAAAATATATTTAATCGGCTACTGTTTGCCACAAGTAAAAATGATATAATTTCCACCGACCTAATTCTTTTCTTTTATCAAAATAACAAGAACATGGTGGATGAATTATAATTTGCCATTTGGGCGTAATAACATTTTTTGAAATAAAGCAATGTGGCAGATTATGCTACGTATTTTATTTCTCATATGTATGTAATGTATTCTTCTTATTTGTTCTTGTTAATGTGTCCTGGACGTTGACCATATTAAATAAATAAATCATGAAATACAGTGATGCGCATATGCATTTTATGTTCAAAATGCCTTTATGAAATATAAGTTTACAGACACTAGTGTTGCGGAACTAAACAAATATAAAATTATGGAACTAGGCTTGCTTGTCCGAAGTCAATTCATCTGCAAACGAGCCGTGCAGAGAACACGCATTTCTATGAATGTAATGTTTAGAATGGTTGTGAAAATATTATAAACACAGCATTCTAGTTCATTGTAATGACTTAGTGGTAATCGAATAATTTATAATTTTGATTTGTTCTACTAATGTCTTACTTTCATTTCTATATGATGAAAAAAAATACAGATGCACTGGAGTTTGATCTTGGTAATGTTACTTTCAAGTAATTTGAGAAATTGTATTCAAATGATAACACTGTACTACAGTCAGGCAAAGTGAGAATAGTTGTATCTCAGGAATAAAATCCTGTAGTTGCTAGACAAGTACGCCATCAAAG